GAAAATATAATACAAATAAAAAATGTATCTATTTTGGTGAAATAAATCAGTAACTTCCCTGTTCTGGCTTTTTATATTTAATTTTAAGAATCATGCATCTGTTTCTTTATCTAACACTTTCTTTCATATCCTCCTAGAGAAAACAAGAGCGTGTGTGTGTACATATCAAGGAATGTTAGAAGAAATCATAGAAATCATCCTTTCCAGTGTTCTGAATTTACAGAAGTAGTCTGCCATGGCCTGAATTTTTGTGTCCCCCCAAAATTCATATGTTGAAATCCTAACTCTCAAAGGTAATGGTATTAGTAGGTGGGGCCTTTGGGAGGTGATTAGTTCTTAAGAGTAGAATTCTCATGAATATGATTAGTACTCTTTTAAAAGAGATCCCACAGAGCTCCCCAATCCATTCCACCACATGAGGATACAACAGTAAGTCTGTGACCTGGAAGCTGGCCCTCACGCAACCATACTGGCACTCTGATTTTGGACTGTCAGCCTCCAGAACTGTGAGCAATGAATTTCTGCTTATAAGCCACCCAGCCTGTGGTATTTTGTTAGAGTTGCCTGAATGAACTAAGACAAAGTCACAGAAAGATTAAATGACAAAACTGTACATATTCATTTACAAAATAGTACTGAATAAAATTATATCTTGTGTATTAAATTTCCTTTCATCTTTTATTCTTCTACATTTATTTTGTCTTCACCTTATTTTGGTGGGGGGTGGGTGGGAGCTGATGGTTATTGACAACTGAAATGGGAGTCATTTACTCATTCTTTAAGATAGACACTTCCCTACCCCTTACAACTTTATACTAATGACAGGTAACTTTTACTGAGCACTGATGTAATGTAATGTAATGTTATTTGTGTTTTCCATTTAATCCCTGCCACAGCTCAATGATACAAGTACTGATATAATTAACATTTTATAGATTTGGTAATTTTTCCAAGGTAATTCACATAATTATCATAACCATTAAAAATCTATTGTTTAGCTTGTTATTTTATATGTTTTTAATAATAACTATATTTATATACTTTATATTATATTATATATATTTTATATTACATGAGAAAATACTCTTTATAACCAAGCAGATTTAAATAAGTAAAGCATAGATTCCATGAGTTATCAAAGATCACATTGTCTAGTAAAGGAAAGAACCAGGTCGTAGACTCAGGTGGCCTAATCCCAAATCCAGACCTATTTCATGGAAAAGCTTGATACAAAGCAGTAGTGTCTTGAAATTAACAGTAATAAAATTCTTTAAGATTGAATTAGCTTAGTGCTGGGCTGTCATTCTGGACATATTACTGATAAAAGGAATGTGTACTAGATTATTAAATAGTTTAGTGACTGTTGAAAACTACTCTAGGAGATGGTAGGTTATACTGATGTTCTACTCAGATTAATGAGATTTGGAAGAAGCCTGTTAAAAGCTCTGAACCTAGAGTAATTAGTACACCCAGTCACACATTCTTCAGGCTAATGAAAAAGCATTCTATTGAATGATTTTTATTTTTATCCATTATTATTAAAATGGAGGAGGAATGTATAGAAGAAAATTATAAATCAGATCACTGGAAGCATATTTTAATTCTAGACCAGATCAAAAAGTTGGAGCCCTTTCTCCCTAAAAAGGAAACAAAAATAGTATCTCAAGTATAGCTATTCCATACTTAAAGTTTTATGGTATGTGGCAGGTTGTGTTTTCTGGAAAACATACTCTGAGGCAAAGGTTTGTGTACAGAATGTTTATCAGGAACTAACACATGTAGTGTAAAGGAAGGAAGCACAGTGTTCAGAGAAGGAAGCAGAGTTGCAATCAGGTCCAAAAGTCTCCTCTAACCCCACCGGGGAGATCTGATGCTAAAATGGCCTGTCAAAGTTGTTTGGTGTCAGCATCAACCACTGGATCACTGCCACCCCAGGAAGGAATTGACCTGGGAAAAGGCATTGCTCTACACCATTATTACATTGTCCTCAAACTCTTGGTTTTTTTTTTCTATTTTTATGGTATTGGCTGAACTCTGGTAAAATGTTAAAGCTGTGAGAGCCAATATCCTTGCCTTTTCTCTTAATTTTAATAGGAATGTTTCTAATGTGTCAACATTAAGTCATCTATCCGTGGTAGATTTCTGGTAGGCACCATTTTGAAATTAAGACATTCCTAATACGTTAGTAATTTGTTATAAATGTATGTTAAATGTTAGCAAATGGTTTTTGAACATTTATTTAGTTGGCTATATGCTTTTCTATTCTCATCTATTAATGTAGGTTATTTTCTAATGATGAGGCTTTGTAGCTAAAGGAATTAATTGGCCTGATCTTTCAATTCGCCATACATCCACACTCTTTCCATGGCCTCATTATAGAGAAATTTATTTCCCTACCCCCCGACTTTGGGCTAGGCATGCCACTAGGGTTTTGTTTGTTTTTGTTTGTTTGCTTGTGTCTGTTTTTGTTTTGACAGTTTTAACCAATAGCCAGTAGGTGGAAATTAGTCTGTACCCTTTTGGACCCTAAACCATAAGATTTATTGTTTTCACTTGCCCTCATGTGCTCTGCGCTTCTGCTATGAGAGGAACATGCCCTCCCTAACCTGACAGCCCAAAAGAATGAGGATGGGAAATACAGGAAGTGTTATTAAATCACATATGATTTTTGTTTCTATTTTCAAAAATAAAATCAGTCTACATTTCTCCTGCGTGCTTGTCTGTTTTTGATATCAGGGAATACTAACCTTCTAAAAGGTTAATGTGTCATACAAAATTTTGTAAAGGTCTATGACAGTTTATACAATGTTGCCAATCATCTGGTTTTATGAACCAAAGCTTCCTAATTTTTGTCAGTTACCTTTATCTTTTTTATTTGCTTCCTTCTAGTCTTTTGAGTTTGTTTTTTAATTCTGGTTATTATTTTTGAGCTTCTTAAATTTAAGAATATACATTATTCTCTGAGAACTGTATTGGCCCCTTATATACATTTTGTTATTTACTACAATTCAATTTAAATAGCTTATTATTTCTATTATTTCCTCTTTAACTGAAGATATATGTAGAATACATTTTTTCACTTGTAATGGAAAATAAACTATGTGTATCTAGTTCATCTCTTTTTATTGCCTTTTTTCAGAAAATATAACATATTTTTAATGTATTAAGATTCATTTTTGCTGACTTCTATATGTTAAATACTATAAATATTTCAAATATACTTGAAAATAATAATACATTATATATTCTGTTTCCTGAATTCATAATTCCATATGTTACACATGTATTTGTGTATAAATATACCCTCATAAATATATTACAGAAGCTTTTAAATTATGACATTGATATTCTCTGATATTTCTCCATTAATTATTCTATCATTAGGGGCTGATATTATAAATATATTTATATTTTCAACATATAAGATTTATTACTAGTAATATATGTATATGTTTAATTACATGATAAAATTATAAAGAATTAAGTAGTTTGTATAATTTAATCCTTGATAACAGATATTTAATATTTTTACTATGTAGTAATGAGTAAAGATAAAATTACACAGTGACCTGCCATACATTAAATACACAATTTAATTGGATTAAGGAAAAGAACTGCAGATGATGGAAGATGTAATTTGACTCTTTTTGTACATCTGTTTATACTTTTTTTTACGTTTAGTCCAGGATAGCCTAAGTATGATGGGAACTGATTAATACATGTGTCCTTATTACTACAAAGATAGACATTATAAAAGAAAATGAGTATTTCTCTGAGTCCTGTCACATTCAGGTGAAATAATTAAACAATTTCAAAACTTTTTGCTTCTGAGTCCTTGTTCCTTATTCAAACATGGGACCTGACACCATAAAAACAGTCTTAAATAGAGGAGAAAAATACTTTCATACCTCAAATTGTATTTTCTCATCATGATTGAATGCATTGGATTTTAGCTAATAATCCAATCTCTTTAATATGTAACTTATGTGAAGCCTTTAATCATCTCCTAATAAACTGACCAAAAATTTAAGAAACAGATTTCACAAAGATGCCAATAACCTGATCACTCTTGGCCTCCCCTCACCAATACCATGCAACAGTAGATTTATCCATGTTTAATAGCACCACTCTAATTCATAGGACTCACCACACAGAAAAAAAAATAGTCAAAGATCTGTTAAAGGCAGTATTACTGCCAGTAACCAATGTCCACTGACCATTTACAAGCACTATCAGTAAAATGTGTTATGTATAAGAAATGCAATCCACTCTTAATTATGTTAATTGGGGTCAAAAATAGCATAATCTGTTTTAATCTAAAAATAAATTCTTAATGTTTCATTATGCAAATAACTCTCTTTCCCAATCTAAACTTTTAATAGAAACTCTAACAAGTTTTACTTTTCTTGCGTGTAAAAATTTGAAGTGCACGTCGTCTTTCTGCCTCTATCAACCTTTGGGTGGAAGCCTAAAATCAGTTATATGACCTTGAGCAATCAGATGATCAGGAAAATGGCCTTTATATCTCCTCTAATCCCTCATGGGATGAGCAAAAATATAAATAAGTGGCACATCTCTCAGGTAAATTTTGTAACAGACATAATTTGACTCACCTGTTCCATTCAGTATCTCACTGTTTCTCACAGAATATACTGTATGACAGGCAGGTTGACCAACAAGGCTCTTTGATGTTCTATTGCACATTTCAAATGTTCCATCTGGAAGAGGGAGAGGATAGTAACTAAGGGGAATAGAAGTAAAGAGAACAGGCACACATGGGAGTGAAATACTGAAGAGGAGAAAGATACCAATAGATAATCGGTTTAATGATTGCTTGTCCATCACTGCCCCAGCAAGTTCACTGTATTTCAGGGAATGGTATGCTTAAGCAGAAAATCACTCTCCCTACAGTATAAGATTTAAACAGCTCTAAAGGTTTTCCTGAGGATCAGCCTGCCTCAAAGCTGTTTGAATATTATATCCCCCGAGTTCTTTCCTGCTTTGGGGCCTTTTTATCTGTTGTCTCTCCTGAAATGCTCCTACTCTCTTATACTTCACTTAACCCATTCCCTTTCCAATATTCAGGTTTTAAACCATATATTTACCACCATCTCATCTAATACAGTTCAACAGACCATTCAATCTGTAGCACAATACCCCAGGGTCTTATCAAAGACAGATGTAACTATCCTAACAGCAGTCATCACAATGTGAAATTATATCATGTAGTTGTTCATTTGTTCATTTTCTATTCTGATATATAAGGTATTTCCGCTGTGTATGGCACCAAATTGATGCCATTAAATGCACAGTGAATAAATAAAAAGAACCAAAAAAAGGTGACTTGCTGAAGTAGAAGGATCACCTTGTTCACTACCAAGCTTAAACCTTACTGGCTGTGACCACACACTGGGTTGGTGGCAGAAAAATCAGAAGTACCATTACCCAATGGATGAAAATCAATAAAATGTTGAGCTCTACAGATATAAGAGATCATGTCAGAGAATCAGACTTGACAGTATATAACTACATTTTTATAGTTTTAAAGTAAATATGAAAGATTAAGTAATTCCAGTCATATTTATGTTTCTTGTGATTTTGAATATTGTTCATAACAGTATATTTACTTTTTATTAATATGACTAGTTGTCTAAAAATTTAATAATGACTTTGGAATGAAGAGAACAATGCAAATGTGACATATTTAGTAGATATAATGCCAAGAAATTGATTCCATTTTGATATTTATCTCAAGATTTTAGCTTGCTCCCTAGTAAGTTACAATAAAGAAATCGCTATAAATTTTAATCTAAAAAAATAGTTTGCTTTCAATTTCCATTCCCAGACAATGATGGTAGAAAAAGGAAGCTATACTTCATTAGCATTTTATTTTAAACCACATCTACAATGATTCTGTATGATAACTATTCTGACACTTTTACTCCTGGAATTATTTATAATAGTCTTTTTTCTCACGGACGATGGATCTCAATTTAAATTGAAATTTGACATTTCATTTACTTGGTTGAAGTAGCTTAGATGTCATTATTCAAATAGACTTAAAACCCATGGGCAATAGGAGACATAATAAAAATGGGAGCATTCATACTGCAGGAAGACCTTGCACCTATCTGGATGTCTGTTGGGCATGCTGTAGGATGATTTGAAGTAATACTGTAGCTTTAATGCAAACTGGACATGTCTCTAACATTTCTCTACAACTTCAATAAACACATTTACTTTAAACTATAAAATAAGTTAGTATTTTTCTTAGCATTAACATAGAAAATATTGCCTTGTCAAAAATTATTGAAAGTATTTTCCAATTACTAGTACAACAGAAAGTAACTAGGCCAAAAACAGAGTTAGGATTACATAACATATTTTAATAAACTAAATATTAGTGATCATTCCAAATACAAACCCATTTTGTATATAATTTTAATCAATATTCACATATATATTACTTAATTTTTGAAATATAAGTGTGTAAGTTTAAAGTGCACAGCATAATGATTTGACTTATATTTATTGTGAAATTATTACCACAGTAAGTTGAGATAACATCCATGATCTCATATATACAACAAAAAAAGAAAAAAACACATCATCCTTGTGATGAGAACTCTGAAGATCTACTCTCTTAACAACTTTCATATATACCATACAGCAATGTTAACTGTATTCATCATGTTGTGGTCAAAAGTTACAAACTTCCAGTTATAAGATAAATAAAATAAGTACAAGGGATGCAATGTACATATTTATTACATTTAATAGAATTTAATTTTTTAAAATATGTTTACAATATTTAATTAGAGAAAAGGTCTTTACTTCAGTGGATATTCACATTTAAAGTTGTCTACTTTTTTAGGTTTCATTCCTTTAATCTTAATTATATTTAGTTTTCCTTTGGGAGAGTTGCCTATTGAGTAAAATGCCTGGTTTTTATTTATCATAGCATATATATGTATTTTTAACTTGATCTCTATTTACTATTTATCTTATTTTAACTGCCCCTACCAACCGATTTCCTTATCACCTAACACTGAAATCTTGATTATTCCTTCCCATGAGTCATTGAACATAGAATACACTCCTCTGTCTAAAAATTCCTCTCTTCCAAATTTTGTTTATATTTTAAGAAGCCTATGCTCCACTAATCCTTCTTTCTTATAGTACACAGACTTTCTTATTCTGAAAATCTCAGTGTTTGTACATTTTATAACTATTATTATCTTTGCTTTTTCTTTTTCCTTAGGGATGTATGTGTGTGTGTGTGTGTGTGCACGCACGTGTGTACTCTCTAAAGTCTTTGTAACAGAAGCATAATTTCTATTTCTCCAATATTTTATTCAGGTTCAGTATAGTGATATGCTCATTTATTAACTAAAGACAATCTCCAAATAATACTGTCTGTGAGTTTTTGTGTGTGCACACACATAATATGATTAGGTATCCAGGAATGTTTTGGAGTGACACATCTCAGAAATGTTACATATGTTTTCAGTATCTAACTCTTGCAGAGCTGGCAAGAAAAAGAAAGGTATAATATAAAGATCTGTTCCAGCCTTGTTCAGATGTGGACTCTGGGTCAAGATCTAGAATTACTGACCACAGAAAATATTTTCAACTGCAGATTATGGCATGTGCTTGCATCCCAAGATTACAGTGATACAAAATCACCCTTAAACTGCCAGAGAATTCATTTCATTTCTCTTAGTTGATTCTTCCAGTATATAAATTGTACCTTATATCCTTATACATATGATGCCAAAATTATTTTTATAAGAATCCTATTGCATCAGAATTAAATTGCCAACAGAAAAACAGAAGAATTATCATTACTGTTATATCTTTCTATCATGTCTTTTTATCATATATGTATTCAGAATTTACCTCCCAAATAGTCTATCTGGCATAATCAAAATAGGTAATTTTTCCTCATAGGTTCTTATTTCAAGGCAAGTGATAATTCTCTGTGAGTTTTCACATATCCTTTTCAGTTCCTTCAGATTTTTCTCAAGAATTTTAGTCTACTGCTTAAACATACTACTGGCCTACAGAAAAGCCAAAAAGACTCAATATAATTTATATATAGTTTAATCTTCTTTTTAAAAATGTTCCTCCCCTGAAGTTTTTTTAAGTACCTCTCTAATATTTCATTTATTTTATTCATCTTAAACATTTTTAGCTAATTTAATTTTTGAGTAAGTATTTTAAAGTTTATATTAGCACTTTATCCAAAAATGCATGGAAAGAAAACAACAGTTTCTATTGAAGGCAATCTGTATCTTTGATGAAACTTGATTTTATAATTTTTGTTCATTTTTTGTTTATATTTTTAATTCTGTATTGAATTATAATAAATACAGAAGAAAGTGCACAATTCATAAAGTAACAGCTTAATGAACACAACCAGCATCTGGATCAAGACAGAACACCAGCTCCCAGAAAACTCCCCATATGCCCCTCCCAGTCACTGTCCTTCCTTCTTCCCCCAAATAACCACTATCTTGACATCTAACACCATACCTAAGTTTTGTCTGTTTGGGAACATACTGCAAGTGAAACATGGATGGCCCTTTCTATTCCCTGGTTTTCATTCCTTGACATCATCCTCTCCAGTGACATTTACCCTCACTCTACCTCCTGAGATCTTGCCATCTTTAATAACTACTCCACCTCCTGGAGTAGTTGCAATTATTCCACTTTCTGATCATTCACATATGATATAGTAACCTTTGTTCACAATTTCTTTGACCTTGTCCCTATGAAAACATCAGATCTACCATGTTCTCACTGTCCATTATTTCTCTTGTGCCCTCAATCCTCCTGGCTCATCTTCTCAACCATCATTAACTCCCTTGCTTCCTTTCATTCCATTGTATTCACTAGGCAAAACCAACTAAATTTAAACCCAACTTAACCTGCACCTGTCCCCAGAGCTGTGTGTACCTACAAGAAAAGCACACATTGTGCTGACTGGTCTCAGTGTAAATTCAAGTCTTCAGATCTCAAATTGCACCACTGAGCTTCCCAAGTAAACTTCATTTCTATTCTCAGAAACAAAGATTTCACACTTTTGCTTCACTCTTCAAGCTTCTCATATCCCCTCCCTTGTCCCATTCTCAGCTCAACAAACTGGACTCATATTTCATGGAGAAAACAGAAGCAGTAGATAATAGTTTCCTCAGCTTCTTACCACCAAATCTTCAACTTACCTATCTGTGCACCCATGTCCTCTGCCTCTTGCTGCAATGTTTGATGTGTCCCTTCCCCTATTGGAATCCAATCTCTCACTTGTACCCTGCATCTCACCTCTTCCTGCCTTTCAAAAGCCCCTCTCTAGTAACTCTTTCCTCTATTACATTATCAACTTCTCCTTCTACACTGAATCAGTCCTACTAGTATATAAATATGCCTCAATATGCACCATCTTAAAAAATGATAAGACTCTCTCTGATCCCTCATCTCTCTCTAGCTACCACCCCACTTCTTATCTCTGCTTGATCAAACTGTCTACGATGACCACCTCTGCATCCTGATCTCCTGTGCTCCCCTTTACCTTCTTCAGCCAAGTGCCCACTTCACTATCGAAACTACTCTTGTCAAAGTCACCAGGGACCACCATGCTGTCAAAGCAATGGTTTCCTTCCAACATCTCATACATACATCTGTTTTGTTTCAGACTGGTCTCTTTCCTGAATTGCCACTCATATAACAGGGCCTACTCAATATAAAACCATGATTTCTAGTAGGAAACTCCATCTCAGTTATGTATACTGAATCATATCTGTTCTGTTCAGAAAAATGTCCCTTGTCATTAACAGGTACGTAGAAGAATATCAGCTATTAATTATCTTAACTCCTAACTTCTCAAGTTTAACATGTCTAAAACCAAACTCTTTACCCTTAACACTGTTCCTTCTCCAGACTCTGCATCTCAGTTAAATGGCACTATGACAACCTAGCCACTCAATTCAAAAACCTGCTCGCACCCATGCTTTCTCTTACTCTGCTCTCCATATTACCACACCCACAGTAAGCAAGTCCTGTTGCTTCTACTGCCAAAACATGTCCTGAATCCATCCATTTCTCTCCATAGCTCTTGCCTTCACCCTAGTCCCCATCACTACTATCTCTCACCTAGATCACTGCAACAGGATCTCCCAAATCCTTTTCACTGCACTTAGAATTAAAATCTAAATCCCATATTACAACTTAAAATCTCAGTATGATCTGGACCCTGCTTGCCTCTGAATTTACTCCACATCACTCTCTCTTTTCTGCACTTACTTCCATTCAGACACAATGGCTACATTTCAAATGTTTCATTTTGTTTGGCAAAGTCTGAAGGTATCTGAATTTTCCCCTTAATATTTGCTGTTGGTATCTGAATTTTCCCCTTAATATTTGCTGTTGTTATTTTTGCTGCTATTATTATTGCCTGAAGTTTAGAGGAGTGTTTCTTTTTCTTCAAAGGCTCATAAAATTAGGACTCATCTTGGGATTATTAAACCCATATTGACTATCTCTGGAATATACTACAACCTTTCAATATGTGGATCCATACTTCCTTGATTTCAGAAAAGCTCTCTTAAGTTATGTCTCTGGGTATTTTACTTCATTTTTTTCTCTTCTTTAAGGACACCAACTGTTAATATCTTGTATCTCGTTTTGCTTCCACATCAATTATTTTTATTTTATTCTTCTTAAAATTATTTTTGTTCAGTCAACTTTTCAAACACATTCTCCCTGTTGCTTTGTTTTCATACATATCCTTCCCCCTCTTCCTGTAGTTAATATGAGCTCATTTTTTCTTTTTTCTTTTTTTTTTTTTTAAGTAGGCTCCACACCCAGCGCTGAACCCACGACCCTGAGATCAAGACCTGGGCTGAAATCAAGAGTAACACGCTTAACCGACCTGAGCCACCCAGGTGCCCCTGACCTCACTTTTTCTGTTTTAATGTTTTTCTTCCTCCTCCTTGAGCACCACTCATTTTTCATCTTTTATTGTCTTATTATTTCACCCTTGAACCTTGTGTCTCTTCCATAAGATCATTATGCATACAGACTGTGCATCATTCAGTTCCTTAAGCCCAGAGACACCTGCATGGCATGAGTTTCCTCTCATCCACGGCAACATTATTCTGCCGTGTACTCTTCATCCTCCGTTTACAATAGATCTTCCTTTCCTCTCTCCCTCTCCACCCCACCTTATCTTCCCTCCCTCCACCCCCTCATCCCTGCTTCCTTTTTCCCTCCCTCTATCCATCCCTCTGGGTGTGGCTGGTACTTTAACCCTCTTAAGCTCTCAAAGACCTAAAACGGCTAGTAGCTTCTAGAGGCCCCTCTTCTAAGCCACATTTACAGGCCGCTGGTTGCCAAAAAGGCAGCTCTTCGTGTTTCCTTCCATAGCCCCCCTTCGCTGCCACTCTGTGGGCTCAGACAACTTTCAGTGGCTCCCGCACCCCATACAAGTACCCTCACCTTATTCCAGACAGGGGTCCATGAGGTTAGCACCTTCGATCATGGCGTTCTTTGCATAGTGCGTGCTCTGCCAGTGCTGTCTCTACTCTGCCCTCCACGTGCTGTCTCTCGGACCGACCTTCCGCAGGTCACCTCCTGGGTGCGCGCAGTCCACGTCTTCCGTCAGTCACATCCGCACTTACAACGCTGTGTGTACCGGACCCGCCCTTCTGACGTCGTAGGTCAGACCCGCACTTACGACATTGTTTGTTAGTTCTGCGCGTCTCACGTCATCCACCCGACCCGCACTTACGACTGTTAGACCCGCGCGTCTGACACCGTCAGAGCCGCAAATCCAACGTCGTCTGTCGGGTTTACATGTCAGACGTCATCTTGATCTGCGAGTCGGTCAGTGTTCATTTTGTTATTAGTGAGGTGCACCACATGCAATCAACTCAAAGCTTTAAGTTTTATGTCTGCTTGTCTTAGCTGCTGAAATCTGTATTGGTTGATAAAATCCATTACGTCCATGAACATTTACATGAAAAATGACTGAGGTGGGGGTCAAAGAAGTGAGAGAAAATGAATTCTAATGTGAATTTGAAAAAGAATTGTCTAAAGAAAATCTGTGAGGATACTTTAAAAAGTTAAAATATCTCAGTCTGCAATTTGATAATTTTCGAATCGGAGTTTCATAAACTGAGACAGACATTACAAACACAGAACTTGCATTGTTTTATGGATATAATCGATGGCATTTTATGCGGGCAACAAAATTCTACCCATTTCCTTATTTATGTGGAGAAACGATGTAAGGAAGGAGACACAAATCCCTACAAGTACTAACACCCATGAGACTTTTACTTTTTACTCTATTTTATGAGTTGTCAGAGAAATCACACTCTCTGATAATTTAAGAGATAATGAAAGGCATCCTGAGGATTACAGTTGTCCATTATTGTGGACATGTTGGCAGCATGGTTTCCTGTAAATATTTTTTTTTTAAGATTCTTTTAACTTATTTATTTATTTGACAGAGAGAGAGGGAGGGAGTACGTGTAGGCAAGCAGTAGACAGAGGAAGAGGGAGAAGCAGGCTCCCACTGAGCAGGAAGCCCAATGCGGGGCCCAATCTCAGGACCCTGGGATCATGACCTGAGCAGAAGGCTGACTTAACCGACTGAGCCACCCAGGTGCCCCAGTTTCCTGGAAATATTTTAAAAGCAAAAGTATTGTAAACATTTTGTATTCACTGCTGATTCTTGCTACTAGCTGCCTTTTATTTTTATTTTCTGATTAGAAATTCCTACCCTAAATGTTAGAGAAATAAAAGTAGTATTTTCACCATTAGTCAAAGATACATATTAATACTTAAGATTAAAAGTAACCATTTTTTGTTCTAGACACTGTTCTTCACTTGAGATTATAAATGAAGTTACATTCATTTGAAATATATAGAATATTATAATCCTAGTTAAACTATGGCATAATTTTGTAACATGGTATTATTATACGAAGTTTATAAATTTCCTGATAGGAATACTTGATTTCCTTTAATGTGACTAAGTCATTTCTCAATTTCTCTGAGCCTCTCCCCCCAAATAAATAATTATATGATAAAATAAAAAAATGATTTATTAAACAGGCATGTTCTAATGGAAATAATATTTTTCTTGTCATAGGTTTTTTAAATCTAGATATAAATACCTGTCATGAATACCAAGACTTCTTAATGGAATGTCTGTCAACATTGATCAAGTGATTCACGCATTTTTAGAATCACAGGAAAGATACCTAAGTGAACAAGAAATGTAGAAGTCTCTTTGATTTATTTTAATTGCTTTATATATTTTGGATTGAATTATTTAAAAGAAATATGTTAGCATTTAGTTCATGAAAAAAAGTTCAATAGCTAACTTATCTTGGTATCTTGTCTTAGATACCTTATTTTGTAGTCACTTTAATGTTCATTTATTTTCAGCTAGCTATTTGTTTTCCAATCATAAAATATTTTACTCCCATAAATACTACCTTCATTAAAAATTTTGCATCCTTCAGGCCATAGATGAGACAGACCCAATCTTCTCCTCAAAAAACAATCAATTTAAGAGTATGTTCATGAACATAAAACTTTAAAGTACTAAAGGCATATTATAATACAAAAATTTACAAAACAATTATAGAAAGTAAAAAGTCCTCTGTAAATCTCCCCAAGTAGAAAAAGATAATTATATGAAATGATGCTTCCATTGAAGTGAAAATATTCTGAGGAAAATCATAATTCTAATTTGCTGGATGCAAGATTTTATTTTTCAGGTTGTGGGAGAGGGCGAGTACAGCCAGGACATGTAAAGCACTTACTATGTGCCAGACACTTTAAAGGGCTTTGAATTTATATGTATTGTAGTCTTCATAACAACGTTGTGACATAAATACCATTATTACCTCTTTTTACTAATAAGGAGATAAGTACAGAGAGGTTAAATAACTCAGCAGTTACCATACAACAAATAAATGGCTAAGCCAGAGTGCAAACTCTTAGATCTAGATCCAAAGCTTCTTTACTGAACTACTGAGCTATGACATCAACTCACATATATTGGATTGATACACCCATATTTTAGGGAATCTAAGATACTCTCATGCTGGCTTTTTTTTTTTTTTCAAAGATTTTATTTATTTGACAGAGAAAGAGAGCGAGCGGGAGGGAGAGCACGCACAAGCAGGGGGAGTGGCAGGCAGAAGGAGAGGGAGAAGCAGGCTTAGGCTTCCCGCGGAATGGGGAGCCCAGTGTGGCTCCGTCCCAGGACCCTGGGATCATGACCTGAGTGGAAGGCAGATGCTTAACCTACTGAGCCACCCAGGCGTCCCTGGCTCGCTCTTATTCTTACCACAATCAACAGAATTTTTCACACAACCATGTTATGTCAGCCCCTTATCCAATTAGGAATTGTAATCATATAAACCACAAACTTTGGTAACATGTATTCTTATTTTAGAGAGGTTAAATTGTGAGAGGCAATGCATATGAGAATTTATGAAATAGAGAGACGGTAGTATTTAAATATATTTAAATATGCCTTATTAGTTTTGATAGGACCAGACATTTAACATTTTCATAGAACCTGTTTCTCCAAGCCTGTTTCAAGTCTTTGCTCAGCATTCACCATCAGTGGCACCTCTGGAGCACTCTAATTTAAAATTTCAATGTCACCTCCCACCCACAGTATTCCTAATTCAGTATGCCCTGCTGTGCTTTTCTTCCTTTTTATAGTTTTTATAATTTTGTAACATGTAACAGGTATAATTAATTATGTGTATCATTAATGTCTGCCTTCACTGATCACTGCCTCTTTAGAATACAGAATCCTTGAGGGAAAGACTGTTGTTCACTGATGTATATCTAAACGCATTAAACATTGTCTGGTACATTACAGGAATTCTTTATATGTATTTGTTACATGTTCAGAAAAATCAATCAGTAAACATTAAAAAATAAATTCATACTGTATGATCAGTGTTCCTGTAAAACATGACCAGAAAGACATTTTTTTACTAACTTTTATCTGGGATGTATTTGTACAATTTTCTTGTGTAGAAAAAGTGTGCACTTACTTCTGTGTATTTAATGTAACATTAAAACTGCCAATACAAATCATCAGTGATCATCTATAGAATAATTCTTCTATCAGTTTACAATCTGATTAGGGAAAAGTCACTCACTAAGCTGAACAGTGAAAAAATAAACCAACTGACACATTTACTTAATGTCTCTGAGCCTCAGTTTCCTCATGTATAAAATAGAGATAGAAATAGTACACATTTCATAGAGTCATCATGAAAAATATGTGACATAACTTACATAAAGCATTTTTAAAAATAGTGTTAACTATTATGGTGTTACAGAAGAAAGGATGACAACTTCATCTGGATGCTTATTTGAGAGATATTTATAGAGGCACCTTGATTTTTTTTTCTCAGATTCACTTAGCTATTGATTACTTCCCTTTATTTTTTTTTTTTAAGATATTATTTATTTGACAGAGAGAGACACAGCGAGAGAGGGAACACAAGCAGGGGGAATGGGAGAGGGAGAAGTAGGCTTCCCGCTGAGCAGGGAACCCAATGTGGGGCTCGATCCCAGGACCCTGAGATCATGACCTGAGCCGAATGCAGACGCTTAACAACTGAGCCACCTAGGCACCCCTACTTCCCTTTAAAATATCTTAGAATGATAATATATAACATATGTAAATAGACTATATCTGTTTTTATCACAACATCCTAACCAAACTGCAAAAATATATCTGCATGAACATTTGTTTTCCCCACCAATAAAATTTCACTAGTCAATCTCATGCTAGTTGAAAATGATGTCTTTGAGACTAGTAGACATCAAAGGTGTAAATAATGTAGATTCTACTTGCAAATGTGTAGTACAATTATGATAAAATCATAATCTGATTTGTATAATAAACAAAATAATTTTTCCGACTTTGCCATGGTAGATCAACATCAATTTGGATGAAGACATCATACTGTAGTCCCTAAACTATTCTGAGAATGGAAGGATGAGAAGCAACTTATTACCTCTCATACAATGAAAATGATATGATTGTCTTAAGAATTTGACAACCCACAAGTGTCATAAGAATTTGACAAACCACTGATTATATTTTTATGTAAATTCGATATGGTCACCATTTTGAATTCTTTGGATACAGAAAGACACAGAAACAATTTAACAATTAGCCTGTAGGCAAAAAATTAAACCAGACAAAATTGTTCCAAGCTTTCAGGACTATGCAAAGAAAGATAGCCTATTTGTCATATAAAATACTGTCTATTGACCCAGTTTTATAAGTTTATCAATCATCAGTCCTCTTAATACCAGAAGTTGCACAAGTTGGCTGATACTTTAGTGCTCTAAATAAATGTGATCATTTTTTTGTATAAAAATATTCCGTAATGCTGTGATTCTCAAACATTGGTATATACTAGAAACAGGTGGAGAACATGTTTAAAATGCTGATTTTCTGTACAATCTCAACTCTTTTGTGATTCAAATTCAATAGTTCTGGCATGAGGTTTGGGAGAATTTACATTTTAATAAGCAAATTCATTAATCTTTGTGCTGTTGATGATAGACCATACTTAAAGCAAGACTGCACT